CCCATCCCTCTCTCTCTCAAAATAAACGAACATTAAAAGATATATAAATATATTAAAAAGATGCAAGCAGTGTTTAATGTAACAGAAATAGCAGAAGTTTCTATTTTTATTGCTCATCACAGTCAGTAAAGAAAATGAGATTTTCACAAAGAACACAATACACTTAACAGTTTTCTCCGCTGAAGGATATCAGCGTAGGCTGTGGGGCGACTCTGTTCTAGCCTGTCAGTGTTATTTGTGGCCTTGACAGGTAGATGGGGAGAGAGGATGAAAGCAGCCTGTGACAGGAAGAATGAGCGCTCTAAAAACAAAGCTGCAGTAACTGATGGTCACAGGCCCTCCCCCTCCCTGGAGAAAAGGCCCAAACACAGTCCACATTTGAAAAGTGGGGCTTAGTGTTGAAAGGAAGGAAAGACAACCTCAGAAACCACTGTGCCGACCCTGGGCGCTGACGGGAAGGTGAGCTACATTAATGGCTTAATGGCGGGTGCCAGGAAGGATGGCCCAGGAGCGGCCCACCCTCACTCACCGCACTCTTGTTTGTGGGGAGTAAATGAGCCAGCCAGGCCGAAAATTCTCCAGTCAGGTATGGGCAGGGCTCCTGGGTGCTCACGCATGTGTAAATTAAAGCAGTCCTGCAACACCTCAGACTCTTCCTGAGAAAATGTAACTGGCTGACCTGGAGTGCCCACGTCACGCCAAAGCTGTCCTGTGTGCTCCCTGTTTCCTCCTGGGCCCCCCAAATCCATCTCTTCCACTTCCCAAAGAGGGGTCCCTTCCCTCCAGCCCAAGAGGGTGACTCGTTCCTTTAGAGACCAATCTCCACACAGCAAACTAGGCACCAAACTAGTCCCAAAATGATACGTGGCAAAAGACTACGCGAGCCAGACTAGCTCACCGCGGGGGCGGGTCAGGAGTCCCACTTAGTTCTTCAAAATCCAGGGGAGAGGCAAAGTTCTAGAATCTACTATGGGCTTGCCAAGTAGGAGTCAGCCCTCCCACATCCTACTCTGCCCCACCCTGGCCTTCGCCAAGTCACCGGTCAGAACCACTTCCTTCCATGACAGAAACGAGTGAGGAAAGCAGGCCGGGACTGCTACTTCAGTCTCCCAAGGCACAGTTTTGTGCTTTCACTGTTGCCTAACTCATCTGTGTGTCCTTCGTTTTTCTTCCGAAACGATCATGTTCAGTTTTCCTCAGTTCTACAGCACTGGTCTACTACACTTCGATTTCTCAAGCACAGCAAAATCACAGTTTACTTTCCATGACTTGGGTTCCCTTCTCGGAAGCGTTAGGTTAGAAATTGTCACTGTTGGGAAACTAGCTTTGTATGTAGGCGGAAAATTCTTCACAAGTTCCTTAAAGGTCTGGGGGCTTATTTAGAGAGTTTACACACACACACACACACACACACATACACACACATACCGCCAGCAGTAATCACAGCCTCGCCTCCCCATGGTGCTCTGGACTCTCCCAAACACACTACATCATTTGATCCTCATAGTGGCTCTGTGAAGTGTGTGTAACTATCTTTATTTTATACTAACAGAAGCTATAAACTACCCACACGTGAAAGTGCTATAAGCTTAACACCCTTATGCATATTCCCTAGGTGATGCCCACACTAACACGGAACAAGTTTAGGAATATCTACTTAGAAACCTGTGCTAGTTGCTGAGGATGAGAAGGAATCCAAAATTCCACTTCATTGAGTATTGATCAATTATCGTAATGCTATTAAAAATTCAAAAGAGGGGCGCTTGGGTGGCTCAGTCGGGTAAGTGTCTGAGTTCAGGTCATGATCTCATGGTTCATGGGTTTGAGCCCCCCATCAGGCTCTGTGCTGACAGCTAGGTGCCTGGAGCCAGCTTCGGATTCTGTGTCTCTGTCTCTGCCCCTCCCCCGCTCATGCTCATTATTTTGAATAATATTTTTATTATTCAAAAATACACACTAACAATTTTTTTAATTGAAAAGAAATATTCTAGTTTTACGACCTAACCCCTCAAATGTGCAGCAGAGTAAAAGGGGAAAAGATTCTGTGATTTCCTCTCTGCTCGTTTGGAATCTGAATTGAAAAGGAACCACTTTTTTCCTCATTTCTTTTATTCCTAATGTTTTAGAAGAACTCTAGGTGGATCAAAAGCATAGCTAAAACACAGCTCAGCAGGGGATCACATTAAAAAATGAAGTTTCTGTGCATTTTATTTATGGCTCTTAATTTCAATAGGTGAATTAGTTGGGCAGTAGTTCTGACAGTTTTAAAAATATATATTCATGTATTTACTGGACTCCAGAAAACTGTACAATCTAAGTCTGAACCTCTTTAACTTAGATACATTAACCAGTTTGCCATATGAAACCGATTAATAAGTTTGAGCTCCTTAAAACACATTCAAACCTCAAAACTAAACTAAAGCTTTGATTGTGTCCATACATAGATATGTCCTTGAACTAGAGCCTAAAATTTAAATACCAAGACTTATCCTATATATTCAAGAGTAATATTATTCACCTAATCTCTTGACAGCCATGCGTAGCTTCCACCATGCAAATATGTTACTTTGTAACTCAAAATAAGATTCTAAAAATTCACCCAAAAGAATGCCCTTTATTCAAATGTCACTAACTAAAATTCCTATGACGGAATCTAGATGTTAGGTATACAAAATACATTTACATAAAAACATATCTGAAAACTTCTAATAATTAAGGAAGGATCCATTTATCTGCCAATTTTAGCTTCTGTCTAAAATAAATCTAGAAGCAGATTTATTCTATTTATGTCCTAGTGTGCAAAGCTCCCGTAGATCTTTCTCGACTATTTCTAAGTTAAATGTACTGTTTTAACCAGCAAAAGTCCAATCTCGGCCTGACCCACGTAAGGCACTCAGTCTGTCAACTAAAGAAAAAACTATGAGAACTTCCGGTGGATGTGCACAATTCGTAGCAGATAATTTCAAGCAACAATTTTTTTTAAATGAAGCATCACTGAAAATCTTAAAGCTTTTGTTTCTGATCTGTCTTGTGATCGGTTTAAAAAATGCCTTGAACAGACAGTACGTGAAATGGTCAACAAACACTTATTGAAGAGCTGAAGCACTGCTCCGAGACTTGAGAGAAGTCAAAGAGAGTGAGAGCTCGGTACCACAAAGAAATCAGAGAGCAAGGGAGTTGATGTCTCCAAAGTTTTACTTCGGTTGACTTCATTCCCCAAATACATTTTTTAAAGTTTATTTATTTACTTTGAGAGAGCACTGAGGAGGCGCAGGGAAAGAGGAGAATCCCGAGCAGACTCCACACTGCCAGTGCGGAACCCAATGTGGGGCTCAAACTCACAAACTGTGAGATCATGACCTGAGCTGAAATCCAGAGTCAGATGCTTAACCAACTGGGCCACTCAGGTGCCAAACCATATTTTAATAGCATTATTCAAACCCAGCTTTATAATATAACGTTCCCTCACAATTGTTATTTTCTCACAGAGTTCCCAGGTCTATCCTAAATAGAATTGAAATTTTAGATTTGTTATTATCAAAACAAAAATTAAAAACATCTATAAAAGACGAGGTTATTCTACGAAAATTCACTTTATGCTTTTCTCTGAATAGCTTATTTTTCATTTATTTGCATGTCAAGTTAGCACAAATACGGGAACGGATCCACAAATATGTACGCCTACCCCTACGTTCGCAAAATCATACAAGATCTCGGTAGATCCCGCTCTGTTTTGGGTTTAATACCCACAGTGGTAAAGAAGAATTCAAGATTTGTGATTTCTCCATATTTCTATTCTTAGAAAATGAAAATGATATTCAGATAAGAAATCAGGACATGTGTGGCAACAGCTACTTCTCAGGAGCCCTAGACCTCATGAGTAACTTTCACTCTCAGAATAAAAGGCCTTACACGAAGGATTAAAACACAAGATGAAGAAAAGCTGACATTGCAAGGAGAATCTAAAACACCGAACGGCTACTTCCACTTGTGCTAGCATTGTGCCTTCCTTAGCGTTTAGCAAGCTAATTCTTTTGTTCTGATTTTTTCTTTTTGAATAGCACTTTTCCCCAACACTCTACAAGCGGAGTTAAGAGCAATAAAGCTAATTTTATAGCAGGATGATCATTCTTGGGCAGGCTCAATAATATCTTATTGTTGCACTTATTGATTCTATTCCTGTTCTTCAAATTGGCTCCCATGAACTGTCCTTAGCATCGTTCCTCTAGACTAAACAAAAATGGGAAAAGAGCAAACAGGGCTGTCATCAACAGGAAGCAAGGAAACCCTGTATGATGACCAGAAGGTAGGGATGTATCCACTCAGCAAATACACAGTGAGCATCAACTACTATGGGCACCGCACCCCTAAGATACAGAGGTGCTCTCAGTCAGTTTCAGGGTTAGGAAAGACGAATGGACGCACACCTGGCAAAGTCACAAGGGTGTGAACGGGGTGTGGTTCACACTGAAGAGGGAGAAAGGGGTCTGAATGGGGCAGTTAGGAGCATTCTCAGCGGAGAAGCTAAGCCTTAGGGGAGAAGGAAGGACTTCTCAGGAGGCAGCAAATGGGTGGAAGTGCATTTCAGATGAATGGAAGAGCATGAGTAGCGATCACCAGTGCAGGGACGATCTCACATCGTATCCGATGTTCACAAAATGAGAAGCAGGTAGCTGAATGACCCGAAGCCTGGGGATTCTCAGTTGAAAACGAGACTGGAGTTCAAATCTGAGTTTCCAAAAAAGGCTCACAAGGCCACCTTAATTCTGTCCCTGTGCCCCCCAAACTATAAACTAGAGAGAAAAATGATGAAATGGTTAGAAATGAGTAAGGAATAAGAGTAGATAATGCCTACTTTTTCCCAGGCGAGGGGAAGACTTTGCTCCAAATATGGATGCATACCCCGTCTGCAAACTTCCATCTCTGTCCATTGAAGAATCACAAGTCCAGGCCTCACAAGTATTTGAGAGTTAGTCAGTCAGGAAGTAAACTGTCCTTACCTTGCTTTAGAATGATTATGGTTACAGGGACGCCAGAACCACGTGACTGTAGGCTGAGGGATACCATAAATGGTACACGTCAGGCTCTGTCTGCTGTCCAGAGGGTAGAGGGTTGGGTCTGGGAAGGATGACACGGCCTTTTCATAAATCTGGGGTTTCACTGGAAGGGAGATGAACAGGACAGGAGTCAAGAGCTGTGCAGTGACTTTCTCCCGGGTCACAACCCAAAGGACTGCATTCTTACCGGTTTCGATGTCAGGGAAACAAACACATATCTGTCGGCATTACAGCTATTTTTTTTAAGTAGAAGTGTTTTGATAACAGTAAAGAATTGATTCCATGGTATGTACATCATGATTATGGTTATAAAAAAATTTATTGCTTACAGAAGACAACAAGCAGATGTGAAATCATTTTGATGGGGGCATATGTGGTTTTTAAAATAATTACTTAAAAGGGGCACCTGGGTGGCTCAGTCAGTCGGTTGAGCGTCCGACTTTAGCCCAGGTCATGATCTCACGGCTCATGAGTCTGAGCCCTGCATCAGACTCTGCACTGACAGCACAGAGCCTGCTTCTAAGCCTCTGTCTCCCACTCTCTCTCTCTCTCTCTCTCTCTCTCTGCTCCTCCCCTGCACATCCTCCCTCTCTCTCTTGCTCTACAAAAATAAAACATTTACAAATACACAAATAAAATACTTAAAAGTTTGTTTCCTTTGATGTTGCCACATTGCCTTTTGACTTACAATTTTTCCTGAACTTCACTCCTCCCCAGAACCAGAACGAGGTAGGAACGGTAAACTTACCATTTACAATTAAAGTGGTGGTAAGGTTTTTAAACACACTGTACTTCTTTACGGCCAGCAAGATTGTGTAATCTCCTGCATCTTCTGCGGCAACATCTTTGATGATTAGTGAGTAGCCATGAACCAAACAGCGAGCTGATTTCTCAGTCACAGGGAACCCATCTTTTAACCTGTGGTTAAGGGCATGGGCATGAGGTCATTCCACACTGCCTCTCGGATAACACATGAACACTGTCATTTACGTTTGTGAGCTCAAGTGGCTATGTTCTAAGTCTTTCATCTCAACATTCATTGAAAAAATTGAGTCTCTAACTTTCCAGTAAAGCCAGGTGGGGTTTTTAAACTAAGAAACACGGAGCACCCGGCTGGCTCACTTGGAAGAGTGCCTGACTCTTGATCTCGGGGTCATTAATTTGAGCCCCACACTGGGTGCAGAGAGTACTTAAATGAATAAAAAAACTTAAAGAAAAACTAAACTGAGACACACTTCACATTTATTGGCAAGGAGGAAGAAGTCCCTTGAAGGAAGAAAGAAAAGTGATGGTTTAAGGTACCCACAGGGATGCTGGTCACCATGCGACTTAAGTATTAACCCAGAAGCACTGGCTGATCCCATCCAGATGTTTTTCCGAGTTTTCCATGAGGCTTCATCAGCAGTACAAGGGCCATTGTAAGTCAGATCAACTAGATCATTTCTCCAGATAAAAATAAAAATAGACTTTTCTATTGTGGTCTCATGTGGAGTTCTTATTAGTTGAATAAATGGTCACCCCAGTTGTCCCTTTCATCAACTATAGTGAAACCAAGATTATCCAGATTTTTCCCCAGAGGAAGAATAGTTAAGGCACAAAACTCACAAACAAAAGATACAAAACTTAATTTTTTTTTTTTTTTTTTTTTTTTTACTTTAAACATATCAAGGCCTAGACATCCTGCAATTGGGAACAGAACCCGGAGTCGGGAGTCCTCAATGCTTGGCTCCACTCAGCCGCTCTGTTCTGCACATCTGGCTTGTCCGTGGAGGCATGAGGTTTCTCCCAGTTTTCTAGAGTTTTGCGAAGATTTAACTCTAAAATTCTATGAGTTCATAACACTGCACAGCTCTTTTACTGGGTGTTTTTAAATCCGTTAATTTATTGTGTTCTGCATAAAGGCAGAACATCGGAAATGGTAACAGTTCATATCCACGCAAGTCCTGCAGGCAAATTTCCTGGTTGGTTCTGAAGCGGTCCACATGACTATGCTCTACTTTATGACTGCAAATAGCATCTTAGTTTACTTTAAATTGCTTCCCATTGTCAATCAGTGTTTTCAAAGCTGCATGGTATATGCGTTTTAGGTCCTGGCTACATAGTTACTGAAGAAATTGGCACCATTTAATAGATGGGGATGCTCTCAGATGCTTTGGAAAGAGCGAATGTATCACCTAGAGTGATTCAATTCCTCTGAAGGGATAATGGACACTCATGGGGAATGTACTATTGGAATTTTGGTACATCATAATACAAACAAAATATCTCTCTTTTCCTGTGACGGCACGGAGGGGCAGAGCACCGAGTTAAACTTTCTCTTTAACTCCCTATTAACTGTTTGAGGAAACTGGAAACAAATACTGCGATCACATGCTATCGAAAGCAAAATAAGGGTCGGTGGAGGTAATTCCACAGTGGTACCACTTCTATATTGTCTGGGTTGTTTTCCTAATCGGTTTTCGCACTGTACTCTTTGTTTAAAACGTAATGGTCTGAGCCAAAGATATTGGCGTTTGAAAATGATTTCACAAAATGACTGCAGATTATAAACAGATTACATTGTTTTATATCAGGTGTTGTGCGAACAGAAAAAAAAACCTGCCTCAGGAGTTTCTGAATATGCAAACTTCAAGCCAAAAAAACCCCACAAAAAAAACAAAACTTAATTAGTTCAAGTAGGTCCATTCGCCCGCCTCTACAACTGAATAAGTTCTTGTCTCTATTAATGTTTGTTTAATTTTAAAACAAGGCTGGAACTTTCATCCCAGCTGTGGATAAAAGAATTACTTTCAGATAATAAAAGAATTATTATCCTCATTACAAGGGCCCACTTCTTCAGGGTTAATAGAGCATGTGACATATTCAAGATGCTTCCTATCCATTGCTCAACACACTCCATTCAAAGGACGTTGACATCATAGGGAGGTTTCAAGCTGCAGAAAGTAGTCACAGGGAGTGAATGGGACACTCACCTAATCTCTTGCTCTGTCCTGTGACCCTCCAGGCAGGTCTACCTCCCTCCCAGCCAGCCCAGAAATCCACAGCGTTCTCTGCTTTCTACCGCTCTTTGGGGACCTTATCTTGCTATTTTTTTTTTTTTTTCAGGAATTCAAGGCACTGGGCTCCTGCATCTTCCCACTTGCACAGCATATCTTAAACTGATAGGGAAATAATTATGGTCCTACCATAGGACTTCTGGTGAGGGAAATGCCTTCACTTTCGCAGACAGCCTGTAAGACCGCTTTCCAGCCACGGTTTCCAGCACCTGCTGTTTTCGATGTTTCACGGTGATGAATGCTTTATCTTCCAAAGGAGAGGTGATAAATAGATTAGAAAAGACTATGTTTATCTTGAATAGGACAAAAACAACCCAAATCCCTGACTCATTCAAGGTGCAAGCAGTGACTGGGCACCTGGGTGGCTTAGTCGGTTAAGCGTCCGACTTTCGCTTAGGTCATGATCTCGCGGTTCGTGGGTTCGAGCCCCGCGTCGGGCTCTGTGCTGACTGCCAGCTCAGAGCCTGGAGCCTGTTTCAGTCTGTGACTCCCTCTCTCTCTGACCCTCCCTTGCTCACGCTCTCTCTCTCTCTAGAAATAAATTTAAAAAACCTTAAAAAAAAATTTAAAAAAAAAAGGTGCAAGCAGTGACTAAACAGAGCTGAATTTTAATCAAGACTATCGATGAGACCAAATATTGATCCACAAACAAAAGAATTCAGAAGCACTCTAAGCGGTGAAAATACTTTCACATCAAATGGTTGCAAGTAAAACAGAAAAGGAGAGGCAGGGAACAGAAAGTAGAACACCTCAGATATCCACATCGCAAGAACAGAAGAGTATAGATACTTCTAAAAAATCTACTTGCCCCATGTGAGTATAATGGAACAAAGTCTTTGGACACCTTAAAATAACTGATTTGATTTAAAAAATCTACTGGAGAAAGTCAAGAGGATATCAAAAGGGGCACCGGGGTGCATCAGTCAGTCAAGCATTTGACTCGGGCTCTGGTCATAATCTCAGTTTGTGAGTTTGAGCCCCATATCCGGCTCTACCTTGACAGCTCAGAGCCTGGAGCCTGCTTTGGATTCTGTCTCCCTCTCTCTCTCTGCCTTCCTTCTCTCTGCCTCCCTTCTCTCTCTCCTTCTCTCTCTCTCTCTCTCTCTCTCTCTTCTTCTCTCTCTCTCTCTCAAAAATAAAAAACATTAAAAATTTTAAAAAAAGAAGACTATCAAAGGCCATTGCCAGAATTGTTCCACAGATTCTCTCCCTCACCATTTTCCTTTTAAATAGTGGAAATAAGTAAGGTTTTTAAGGACTCCAAAGAAGCTTAAGTATTTTCTTTATAGATCTTGCCTACCGGAATTAAGCAACAACATTAGGACTTCCTGAGACTAACACCAGGGATGAAATCACATCAATTCTAAGTAATTTATCACACCACATTTTCATTTCTCTAAATCCTGGTGGTACCTGACAGATTTTCCCCATAGAATAAAGGTAAATCTGTCATATTTTTCTGGCTTGTTCATATGGAACACTAAAAAAAATTAATATAGATTACAACATGATCTAACTGAATTATTAACCACAGTATACTGGGAAGGAAAAGATTCTCTGTCCAATTCGAAAGTACTAAAGAGCACACAAAGCAATTTGCTTTTTGGCAGAGGCTAGGAGGGGAAGTAAATGGTATCACTCACGATAAGGTGCCTCTTGGCCCAAACAGAATGTACATTTGTATAGAGTCTGTCCCCAAACCCACCATGATTAGAAAGCAGAAGATGAGTTGCTTACCATATACATGCACTGAGATGTTGACAGATTTGAGTGATGGGCCACTCTTCACATGACAAGTATAAAGTCCTTTGTCTCTGTTTTGCACATGCTGAATCGTAAGAACACTGTAGAACACATTAGTATGGGAACCGCGTTGGCCAATGCGCTGCCTTATAGAAGCCCTCTTATTTGTCTGCAAAGAAAACGTATAATAAATGTAGAAACAGTCCTCGTTCGCGCTCAAGGCTACAGCATTTCTCAGGTCAGGACGGACGGCCACGGTTTCTGCCGAGAAGCAAACCCAACTAAGGGCAAGATGTTTGGGAACTCAGTCTGTCTGATGCGTTTCAAGTATCTGACATAGTGACATTCCTTTAGCGCTTTGTTTTCTCCGGATGGATATTAACATACACGATCTCACGAGGTTCTCACAACCACCCAGGGAGAAGGGCAGTATTGCTGCCCTTTTACAGGTGGAGAAACGACTGTCAGAGACCACAGGGGGCTGGAAACTCAGGTCTTTTGAGGGTAAATCTAGTGCCTTCCCTCTAGCACACAGCGCTCTAACCAGTAACCGGTTGTCTGGGCATAGATATCACCAGCTGGGGAATCATCACCTTTAGTACCTGGCTTAATGACTGTGTCTCTAATAAATCACCATGTGGGTTTTCTTTCGCTCTCTTCCTAGAAACAAGGGAAACAGTCAGGAGTCTGGCTACGCGTACTAAGCTGCAATCATCCCGGGTTCGTGGTCTATTTGAGCCATGCTCTCGCCACTTTCAGCTAAATCACACCGAGTGGATCTGAGGATGTGCAAAGCCATCTACAAGTTCGGCCACCATGCTGGCGGTGGCGGCGGAGCAATGCTGTCCTGCGTCCGCCTCACGGAAGACCGAGAGCTGAGAGAGGGCCCCGAGGCTCAGCCGTGCAAATTGGCCACAATGACTCCTTCCTGGTTTTGAGAAGATGAGATCACATTGCCTTTTCCTTTAATTGTTCCTTCCCCGCCCCCAGTTTTTAGCATTACATTTTATACCACCTAATATGTTTTTTCTCCCTCTCTGTCCCTCCCCAGGAGGAGGCATGGAAAAAAGACATAGGTGCAGAACTGGTCTTTGGGTCTTGAACTCAGCGCTCCTCTGTACCATGTGTAAGAAACTTCTACCCACCTGTCATCGTATTGTCCTATTGGAACAGACAGACATGGTCAGGCCATTTTCTCCCTTCTCAGCAGTAGCCAAGGTCAACCACACCATCAAAAATCAGAGAATCAGTCCCCTAAATAGACCGCAGGGTTTTCAGCAACTCTATGTAAGTATTACTTCTGTCTTCTCCCTTAGACAACGCTTTCCTTCCCAACGTTCAATAACATTGGTGTTTCTGCCTTTGGAAAACAGCTGATCCTTGGTTTCAGATATCTGCTTTGTCTAGCACTGTAGCCACCAGCCATATGTGGCTGTCAAAATTAAAATAAAAGGGGTGCCTGTGTGGCTCAGTCTGCTGAGTGTGGACTTCGGCTCAGGGCATGATCTCGCGGTCCATGAGTTCAGGCCCCGTGTCAGGCTCCGTGCTGATGGCTCAGAGCCTGGAGCCTGCATCCGAGTCTGTCTGTCTCTCTCTCTCTCTGCCCATCTGCTGCTCACATTCTGTCTCTCTCTCAAAAAGTGAAATAGACATAAAAAATTAAAATAAAAAAATCCAGGGGTGCCTGGGTGGCTCAGTGGGTTAAGCGTCCAACTTTAGCTCAGGTCGTGATCTCACAGTTTGTGGGTTCAAGCCCCGTGTCGGTCTCTGTGCTAACTGTTTCAGATTCTGTGTCTCCCTCCTTCTCTGACTCTCCCCTGCTCACACTGTCTCTCTCTCTCTCTCAGAAATAAATTAAAAACATTAAAAAATTTTTTAATAAAAAAAATTAAATTAAATTAAAAAATCCAGTTCCTTACTCAGACCAGCCACACTCTACATGCTCATTAACCATTCATGGCTAGTCGTTACTGTATTAGGCAGCAAAGATATTTCAATCACAGGAAGTTCTACTAGACAACGCCACCTTAGAAGGTAACTGGCAGTCAGTAGATGTATTCTCACCCCCTTAGAGTAGAGCCACTGACAGGGCAAGAGTTTCTTCCCTCCTGGCGTTTATTGAGAATATCTGATTTCTATCAAACCCCAGAAAATACTGCTGCCAAGTCACAGCATCTTTATTAAATGAAACAACATTGCCTTCTAGAAAATATGACTGAGGAGTACTTGCTGTGTTTCTAAATGGTACTTGTTACATCTTTTTGTTGCGGAGTTATTCTATTTCCATGGCAAGAAATTTCAATGAAAAACAACAGTAGCTTGGGGCCGATGCACTCATCCGTTGCACATAATTTAATCATAAACTGACTCTGTGATTGGACAGTCTCAATGGCAGAACACACGACTGTGCTTGGGCCCTGCCGCCAAAATCATACTAACACACAGCAAAGGGGTGCCGCAGCGACAGTTCAAGGTTCTCAACTGTTGATCGTAGATTCCCCGTCTACCCGTTTTCAAACGATTGTTCGCCGGGATGTCTGCTTTGAATGAGGAAACCCAACTTGGGTCTTCATTCTTCTTGTTTTCTCTGAAGGACAGCTCCGCCCCTTTGTCGCTTCACAAACGGGAGGACTGGATGGCCGGCTTGTAATACCTATCTTTTCCAAACATGCTCCAATCAGGTGCCTGACTGTCTGCCAGTATCTTCAATTAATGCACCGACAACAACTTTTTATTGTTGTTCTTACAAAAGATAGCTCCTGCCTGGCATCTAGCGATAAATCTCTCTCTCATCTCTAAATCCCAGAGAAACTTTCCAAGGATAAAACAATCCCCTTTTCTACCCGGAATCATGCAACTGAAATACCAGCCTCTACACTTCAAAACAAAACCTCCAGACATCAAAGGACCATATCTGTGCCTACATACTCCCGGGATGTCAGACAAGGAGAGCGCCCCCGACAAACCCACAGCTTCCTTGTTGACTCAAGCTGCCACAGGAGGCAGAACATTCTGGTCTTTCCCACCTCAAAAACTCAGTGGCATTTCACTTGCCAAAAATAAATACCGCCCTACAGGAGAAACAGAAAAAATGTCACTCACTTCACCAGGATAACTCCAGGTCATCTGGACTCTCGTGTTCAAGGCAGTGGTGGTTGTACAGTTCAGAGTAAGAGTGTCGCCGCGTAGCAGCTTGACTGGGCTTGGGGTGCTTATTTGGACATCTAGGATGGTATTGGCTGCGAGCATAAGAAATGAGAGATTTATTTTTTTTAAATCAAGGTTCCATCAAGCTGGAGCATTTCCAGCTTACATCCACGCCTCTGGAATTCCCACTTACTTTGTCGATAGGTAAGATAGTTTGTCTTGTACAAATGTCCGTTGACTGTTGTTTCACAGGCCAGAAGCCCTATTTCTCTGTACGTGGCATTTGCTATTATAAAACCCTTCCTGCTGTCCCAGATTATCCGCTTTCCATCAGGGATCAGGGTATCAAGGGGAAACTGAAAAGGAAGAAACGTGCTTTAACAAAATCGTACTCGCACTGCGGCGATACTGTTCGACCGATAGTTTGTGAGAACGTCATTTCCACCTACAATGAAAACAGGACGGGTAGAAACTCTAGTTTGTCCTAATTGGCTTTACAGTTCTCTTCGCATGTGGCAAGACACGCACGATTATGATAAATTATAGTAATTATGGGTAATTCTTTATCAGCCTCAGCAACAAGCCGAACCCACCCAGGAGGGACCCAGCCGTCACGTCAGACTTCCAGTGGGAGCCCTTATCACTTGGCCTCCGGGAATCATCCCTGGAATAGACCGGCCTGAGGCTCAACAGAGAAACCATTTAGGAGTTTTTCCACTGGGTCTGCCAGTTTACCCTCCTGAGTCTCATCATCCGGAGCTTTTAATAAGCCATAACTTGTCCTCCCATTTCGCATGATTTAGGAAAGAGGAGGCTGCCCTAACGGCTCTGTAAGTAATCCCAGGTCCTTCGAGATGCACAGCATGAACTTGGCGCTCGCTGGGGTTATCATCTGGGAGGGAAGGTCCAACGAAACGGACACTGGACACAGCTGCAAACAGATGCGGAGGCCAGAGACGCTGCGGTGAATGAAGTGCTCTCAGATTCTTAGAATCATTCCCTAACACAAGGAGTCCAAACAGAAGAAAGGAATCCGTGATTCGGTTTGCCCTGATGCCTTCTGCTGGACGCCAAGGACTTTATTTTTAAAGACTGCGATATAAACAACCCGCCTTGAGATTAGGCTCTACAGAGGGATATTGCTTCATATTGAGTGGTTTCCCCTGATGCCAGATTGCCAGCCCAATTTCAGACAAAGAGCGCTCTGACTACCCCGGTGACCTATCCCCCACTAGGAAAGGGGCATGGGGGAATCAGATTACCTTCCCACAACAGATTATAAAGGAAAGGCCAAACTGCCCCGAAGAAGTTTCAGATCTTTTCTATGTTCTTTTAAGTTGGTTAGGCGTCTGAGTTCGGCTCAGGTCATGACCTCACAGTTCGTGGGTTCGAGCCCCATGTCAGACTCTGTGCTGACAGCTCAGAGCCTGAAGCCTGCTTGGGATTCTGTGTCTCCCTCCCTCTCTACCCCTCCCCTGCTTGTACTCTTTCTCTCTAAATAAATAAACATTAAAAATTAAAAAAAAAGAAGTACACCTTGCATCGCTCATCTATTTATCGTTTATTTATATTGCTTGCTGAAGGAGCTAATCTGGCTGGGATTTGTGACTCTATGGCAGAAATTCCTATGTGAGAAGTCACCAGTGCCCTCTCCCAGGGAGTATGTCTGTGTTGGTCCATGTTACCAGAGTGTTACTTAACTCTGAAATGAGCTGCAGCCTGTTTCTGAGGAACTGCACGCAAATGAAGGATGCACTTCATGTTTTAGTAAATCATGATCCTATCTGCAAACTTAGGAATGCTAAGTGGGAGAAAAAGGAGCTTCTCCTCTAACTTGGTGCAAATTATTAAGGGGAATGCTCAGAAACTGAAGTCAGGGATTGAAATTTCTGATGCTTTAATGGTAGGTGAACCCAGGGGTGCCTGGTGGCTCAGTCGGTTAAGCGTCTGACTCTCGGTTTCTGCTCAGGTCTTGATCTCATGGTTCGTGGGTTCGAGCCCGGTGTCTGGCTCCATGCTGACAGTGCTGGGCTTGCTTGGGATTCTCTCCCCTCCCCGCCCCCACCCCCGCCTCTCCCCTACCAGGGCTCTCTCTCTCAAAATAAAAAATAAAACTAAAAAAAGTATAGCTGAACACAAGCATGTGCTGAATTTTTGTAAAAGAAAGGTTTGCCGATGGACTTCCTCGGCACAACTGAAAAATATACTCAAGTTTCCATTAAGGTTTTAGACTAAGTTTCTCTTACTCTAATCTACCTTACTGCCGCTAACGGTATTCCATTGACAAGGAAACTTTGTTCAGAGTTGACAAGAGCTAAATTAGCAAAGACTATGTAGCTCATCCGCTATGGTGGTGGCTACATGTGTCATAAGGAGGCCAAAGGATGAGCAGTCTTGAAAGAAAGGACTGTACGGGGAGGCTGTGTTCAGGTGACCTTGACTCTGCCACTGCTGGCCATGACAAAAGGAGAGGGAGGGGATGGCAAGTTGAAAGGGTTAAGAGGAGAAGCGGAAGGGAAAGATCTTGTATTAGCTTTATGGCAACATATGCAGAATCGTTCCAATATATATGGGGCAAACCCAAACGTCTATGACCACACTATGCTTCTCTCCCTTTCTTGTGTGTATTATGATTTCAGGTACAAAAAGAGAGAAAATAAGCTTCCCCCTCAAATTTGTACACGTGGGAATTTGGGAATGGTTCTCTCAACAGGTAAGTGATCTGCATCAGACCAAAAAAGGCAGGGGACTTGCATGAAACAGAGAGGTTCCAGAGCCCCATGGCATGTGCTATATTAATCACATAGCAATTATTACCTCAAACTATGAGGAATGGATACCATGCTTGATAATAAAGATCACTGGAATATCAGTCAAGTGTTGACTATTTTTTTAATGTTTTATTTACTTCTGAGAGAAAGAGAAAGAATCTGAAGCATGCTCCAGGCTCTGAGCTGGCTGTCAGTCAGCACAGAGCCCAATGTGGGGCTCAAACCCACGAACCCATGAGATCATGACCTGAGCCAAAGTCGGACGCTTAACCGACTGAGCCACCCAGGTGCCCCAAGTGTTAACTATTAAAGTGTTAGATAAATACCCTTGAATGGGGGCTCAGCTTGTAACAGGAACTGTTCTAAGTGCTTTAAATGCCTCACCTCAGCTACTTCCTAGTACCCATGTGAGGTGGGTGCTACTGTAATCACTCCTCTCTCTCCAGTGGGGAAACTGAGGTAGAGGGAGTATTGATAACTTGCCAGTTAGTTCAGCATGTAAAGTGGCTGGGTGGTAAGAATCCAGCAACATGCCACAGGGCTCTGCTCTTAACCACCCTGGTCCTTCACCTGTATGAACAGGTGAAGCCATTAGCAAAGGCAGCAAGGGCATGGAAGGAGAAGTCAAGATATGGATTCCACTGCCCATTGTGGCCTTGGTGGGAGGGGGTCTTCAACTCCAGGACCTCAGTTTTTCCTTCCACCAATTGGGTTAGCTCCTCTGGCATTTCGAACCCTGAAATATATTGCTTTTCAATTATTGGTGCTGATACACAGATACAATGGAAGCCCAGACCTGTCACCGACAGACTACATTGAGGGCTTATATCAAATCAATAATGTAGGGAATGCAAGTGAAGATGACACTTCCATCATCTTCCAGGATTCAAGGTCAACAGTGATACTGAAAAATCACTCCACTTTTCCAACTCGACTACTACCACCACCACACAACTCCTGAGTACCTACTATGTGGTGACCGGTGCTATGTGCTGCCTTGGGACAGCCTCAACTTTTCCTCTTAAAGCTCAAACCTCCTAGGGCCCACCACAGCTTCCCATTTGGGGAATTCATGTCTGACTTTTAACCCTGGTTTACTCCCAAACTCTTACTGCCAATGAATTAGCTGGAACGTCACATCTTAGTTTTTGTCTTTATTAGATTCTACCCCAAATCTTTTCCTTCACCACATGCATAATTTACAACACGATATAAAGGGGAAAAAATCTCAAGTATAAATTTCTTTCTCCTTCATTTTTTTCCTTTTCCTAAGCAGCTAAGTTTGGATGCCCAGCAGGAGATAAGCTTTTTGTTACCGGGAACTTCACAACCCCAACTAAATAAGCACCTGTCTCATAGTTCTGTCCTCAGCAAAAAACTAAATTAACCACTCTCTGCCAAGCTATTAATTCACAGAGGGAAGAGGAATGGGTTTTCCCACATTTGCAGACATTTGGGCTTGTTGCAATATAGAAACATTTCCACGATGTTAGTTCTTTCGTTATATTCGCACCAATTTATGTCCCCGTTATTTTATTTCATTTAAATACAGGCATGGGTATGACTTCTAGCACTTAGCCTTTATAATAAAAAGACGTTCCAGAAAAGTCCCCGGGGCATCCCAAATGTCTGTAAAAAAAATCATTCCAGAGTGATAAAATGACTAATTCACCGTGCTCATTTGCAGGAAAGACCATCTGAGAGAAGCATTGCTCGGTTTTACCTTTTTTAAAGTAACAGTGATGTTAGGTGACGTGACCCGGCAGGGGATGATGGCCTCCCTTCCTTCAGTCATATATATAATTTCGGGTATTTCAGTGTGCATCTCTAAGAAAGGTCTATCTGTATCTGAATGAGAAGAAAATGGAAAAAAAAATACATATATATAAATGGTTGTTATCAAGAACACGTAGACACCACGGCTGGATGCAGGTCCCCCGTAATGTAATCCGTAAAATTCACGTCCTGGTCTCTGAATTGGGCCCTCTGTTTCTGCCCAGGAAAAGAATGCTTCAGTAACGAACCAGGTTCCTTCTTCTGTTCTTGGCCTTGGATCATATTGCCCCTGATGCCTTAATATGCCATTGTGATGTGGGCGCGATAGCGGTGGGTTTAGGTCACTATGGGAAAAACCGCGTAAGTGCAAGGAGCAAGCAAGAATATTCTGCATAAACTTCTTACCACAGCGATGCTAAGTGTGTCAGGAAGTGCCCTCCGGAGCCTTTGTAAGTAGTCAAAGGGCCATCCCCTCCCCCCTCCCAGGGTGCAATGGTCAGCTGACTTCAGAGCACAGATGACAGCAGACAGAGGTAAGGCAGAGGTGTCAATTTGGAGAGAGGATTAGCATTTGAATGATAGAAGCCTGACTCCCAGCCTATTCCCAGCAGACTAATCAGGAATGAGAAGCTCTGAGCTGCTTAGAGCAAGGGGAAAGGTTGGAGAAGCAGTGTTGAAGGCTACATTTACTTCACAGGCATATTAGATGTCTTTAGAATGTACTACATATCTACTAATAGCCCAATGCACGCCAGTGCATGCAAAGAGGTCTAGAAAAGGCTTTAGACAATCACCAAAATACCACCCTTAAAAAAGTATGGCATCTGGCCAAGTCTCAGAGGCCAGATGGATTTAAACCACCTGTTCAAGTTCCCTGTGGTTTCCCTGGGGACCAGAACAAGCATCACATGCCTTGGAAACACTCGCACAGTCTACTGTGCCCTGGCCCTCCGGACCCCACTGACATTTCATGATCTCTTCGAGAGTCGTTGTGTTCCCATCTTCTGCCCCTGGCTCCAGCCTTACATACCCAGATGGCGAGAACTCCAGTGTTAACTCTCTCCATCTGGCCCTGAAAGACCCAATGAGGCCCCCACCTGCTTGCTGTACTTCAGGAAGCTCACTCTGGATGCTGAATGGAGAATGGGAAGAAGCAGAGCAAGAGGTAGGCAAGTGGTTGCCTAGACTAGATGGTGGCTATGAGCCTGTCATGGGTTGACCTGGGTCCTCCCCTCCCTCCCAAAACCAAAATGTTGAAGTCCTGAGCCCCAGGACTTCAGAATGTGACCTCATCTGGGTCAAACAGAGCCACTGCCCACGAAATGATCAGTTACGTACGGGGGGCCCCTACTCTGGTATGACTGGTAGCCATAAGAAGATGGCCCTATGGAGATAGACGTCGGAGGGAGAAGTCATGTAAAGACACAGGGAGAGACTGGAGAGGGACAGCTGCAAGTCAAGGCCAAGGATCGCCCACAACTATCACAAGGTAGGAAGAGGCAAGGGAGGGTCCCCCTACTGGTTTCCAAGGTAGCATGGTCCTCTGACACCTTGGCTTCAACTTGTGGGTTTCTAGAATGTGAGACACTACATTCCTGTAGTTTTAATCCCCCAACCCCCACAAAAAAAAGGTGACACTGCTGTAGGCTGCCTAAGATGGAATTGTTTCACACACACACACACACACACACACACACACGACACTAGAAAGACCCTATTATCACAGCCCAGCTCACATGCCCTAGATTTCTAAATAATTCCTCCTTGTCCTCTGGGAAGCTCTGCTGGGCCAGCCCCTTCCTTACACCCTTTCTCCGCCCAGCCCACCCCCTGGGCTTCCCCCAGGCCCCCAGCGCTCGCTCTCCACAACAATACGTCAAACACTGGACACCGAACTGGCAGGTTACATCTCTGGCTACACACTGGATGATGAATTCCTAGAGGAGAGGAAACAGACCGTAGTCATCCCCGTCTGACGTGTATGGAATCAATGAATGAACAAACAAACGAATGAATGAACAAAATGGATGAAGGGCTCTCCAACAACCTTCCTCTTACAGATGAGAAGACAGAGGTGTAAATACGTGAAGCAACGCATGTAGAGCCAGGCCTGGAGGCCTCCTGACCTCCTTCCTGTGTCCCCACCCTCAGGGCTAGTGCTCCCCCACCCCACGCCCCGCTTGCCCCCTGCTCCCCCCACCCCCACCCAGCAAGGACTGCATCTGCCAATTGCTCCTCAGAGACTGAGGCTGATTCTCACACATTCAGTGGGGAAAGGCTGTGCCCTGTCATACTGTCTAGCAGTAGAGCAGGTCTGAGAAGAGGACAATCACCAAGGGGCAGGGTGGGGGCGAGGGTACGCCTGGGCACAGGGCCCTTATGAGGCTCAGTCCGAGGGAACCAACAGATCATGGTGGTTAAGAGTGCAGGCAAATCATTCTACTCTCTGTGCTTCATTTGCAAAATCTACTTCAAAGGGTGCTTATGAAGGGACACGAAGGACACTTACCTGGTCGACAGTTACCACTATCGAAGTGCTAGCTGTCGCTTTTCTTATTATTATGAAGGGTTTGAACTTAGGGAGAGCAGATGTTGGGACATGTGAAAATCGCAAATTATACCTGTGATCTTAATTCTACAAGGTATAAATAACACATTCATATATGGCGTAGGAAAAAGACAAATACACCAAAATGTTTGAGTCGTGGCTGTACAGATGGTTATGTTCTTATTTACCTCTTTATAGATTTGTCAGATTTTGTAGAATGGGCACATGTCATTTTATAATGGCATTTTGAATTAGTGAATGTAAGTCTCAAAGCATAAGGCAGCACCCATTTTTACTTGAGGAAGATAATCAATTCTGCATTGGATTTGTTTTAGTTTTGCACAAAAGAGTGAGACCTTAACCACACAGCTAATATTATATTTCTACCGGGAGAGCTCAGTGGGTGTAGCGACATATACAGAGAGGAAAAGTTAATTATGCAGAGACAAAGATTCACTTATCAGCACAAAATTCCTCCCCTAAATAAAGTTGCTGAGCTAGACTTTCAGGCAGAAACTATTGGGATTTGATCATTCCTTTCCTTCCTCCTGTGAGTCTATATTTTTGTCTCCTTTGTGAGTCCCAAGGTAAACACAAACACCAGGAAATGGTTTAATTCATGTAACTAAACTGTAAATCCTTCACATTTAATTTGCTGTCTCCTTAAGCAACTATTTTCAACAAAGGACACTGGCATAAAAAGTTTGTGCAGGAAACAGTAAACATCGGCGTAGTCATTTCGAGGCTAATGAATGCCAATCCCACATGAAAACAGAAAAGGTAAATTCACTGTGCCTTTGAATTTCTCCTTTTCCTTTTGTCACTTTGGATCGCCCAACACTTGATTTTACTACAGCTATTGGCCTTTAAAAGCCAATACCAAGATCGGCATTCTGTCCTAAACTTCAATGCTTTGTGTCAGTACCACAATTCAAGACACATCATTTGTATCGAGTCAACAGCAGCATTGAAATCCAGTGTGTTTGCAAACTGGCTTATGACCGTGGATATACACACACGCGCGGACACACGCACACAATATGCTCCGAGCTTATTAATAGCATATACTTCCTCTGCAATTTGCTTCAAGGAAGGGCTAAGAATGAACTTGCCTGACATACTCTAAGACAAACATTTTTTGTTTTGTAGGACCATAGATACAGAAGAGGTCACGCTTCCATTAATATCACCAGTAAAACCACTTATAACTCCCAAAGGACACATTTGTCTTGGTCACAAAATTAAAAATGACTTCTAAACCCAGCCAGCACTGCAGAGTGCTTTCCTGACACCAAATTGGCTGGTTGTTGAGTGAGGAAGAGCTGCTCCAAAGGCCGTCGGTGCCCTGGCAGTGCAGACACACTGTCACCAGGGACTCAGGCCAACACACGGCTAGGTAGAGGTCACGCCACCCTCCCCTCTGAGCCTGCAGAGCTCAAAGCAGTGCCAGGAAACTGGCACAGAATATGAGGTCTTCTCATCCAATGCGAGTTATCTGGGTGATCATCTTTCAGGACGAGCGGGCTCAGACATGGGCAAAGATCAAACAGGGACCCTTGCTCTGAATGGTGTTACATCTATTTTTTAAACACGTTTTTTTTTCCCCTTTTGAAATCTGTCCTCGTCTGGCACATTAAGGCACATACAGAGACACCGACATGCCACCCTCATTCCACTCCATTCCCACCGGCATCACCTGGGAATTCTTCCACTGGGTTCAGAGCAATTGAAGGACCCAAAGAATTCAGGGAAGCTTTTCAGACTTGAAGAGGAGCTCAAGAGTAAACATCTTATTTCCGAGTATCTTCTTATTCGTGTGATTTTAGGAAATTTTTCCTGATTTCCTTTCATTTCTGGCTCCTTACTTCTAAGTCCTGGTCATGAGGACCCCTTATTATTTTAAAAGAGGATGTGATTTTAATTTACTGGGGATGAAGTGAGGAGGATTAACCAATCGCATGAAAAGGGCTCTATCTAGACACAAGAATTTTCATATCACACAGGTCTTCATGTTGTGGACCATACTCAGTGCCCATGGAGAAGTGGTTGACTGGCAAAGTATTTCATTTGAAACATGAGGGGAAAAAAAAGTCAGGAGGGGGGAGGTAATTTCCTCACTGAGTTATAGTGCCCATCAGAGTCTTTGAAAATTGAAAGCAGAGCTTTAGAGTAACCAGAAGAAAGCTGAAGTAGGTGTGTTAATTTTAAATCAAATAGACTCTAAAACAAGAACTGTTACTAGAGACAAAGAAGGACACTTTATAGTAAAAATGGGGTCAATCTATCAGGAAGATATAATAATTATAAACATATGCAACTAACAACAGAGGACCAAAATACAGGAGGCAAAAACTGACAGAAATGAAGACAGAAATAGACAACTCAACAATCACAGATGAAGATTTCAATATACAACTCTCAATAATGGCAGAATAACCAGACAGAAAATCAAAAAGGAAATAAGAGGACTTGAACAACACTACTAACCAACTAGACCGAACAGATACCTCTAAGAGATCCCATC